TCTGTCCCGTAACAATGTATTAATTTCCTTTTTAGTAATGATATTATTTACCTAAACATTACAAATAACTTACAACTTACAATATATTACACAAATGCCATTACCTTTATATCACACAATACTAATAAAGTTATTTTAGTTATTTCCACTTTATTTATACTATATCCCAATATAATACTAATATTTCTAAAACCACGTGAAAAAACAAATAGATACATAGTTAGGGGACGGATGAAGTATTATATATTCTTCTAACAAAGAAATAATACTCTTTTTATTATTAAAATTTATTTTTATTTTCTTGTTTTGTTGTAATTGAATTTATTCTCATTTTAATTTTTAGCAAAAAAATACTATAATTTTCATACTTCTCTTTATTCTAAAAAGAATATTTTTTATCTTTACCTATTTTATTTTAATTTATTATTTTTTTTTTAAAAAAAATACATACCGTATCTAATGAACATCTATTTTGACGAAGGAGAGTGTATCATTTTTTTATATGGAATTGTAAAGCTAGTAAACAAATTTATATTTTATCCGTTCTTTACCAATTATTTATTTTTTTCATTTTGGTCTATTCCTTAACAATATATATCATTTATATAACTTTACAAATACTTTTTAAATTTACACTGTATTACACAATATCATTTCATTTATCTATATTATACAATAGATAATATGGAATGAATTGAGTATATATTATCCTACAAATATGCACTCATCTGAAATCGAACCCGAATGCCCCAAACAGCGATATCCCCATCACTTGATATGCGCACTAATTTGACATACACACCTATATTTATAGGTCAAAGCCTTCACACTTAGGACAGAGCATATAGATACACGTGTAAAATAATATATATATATATATAAAATAAATAAATAAAAGAGCAAGTGTTATGCAGGGATTGAGATGACCTAATCAGCAACACAATACAATTAATGAAGAAAGTGGAAGCAAAGATGAAATCGTGAAATACAGATGCGTCACGATTTTTTAAAAAAAATAAATAAAAAATAAAAATAAAAGTATATTATTATATTTTTGCAAAATGTTATTTTCAAATAATTATTCAAACGGAAAAATCTAAAAACAAACTTGAAGTAGACAAACCTTGTGATCTAATTTTTGAAAAAAATGTATTAAAAATAATCTTTATTTCTATTAATTCCTCTATGGTTTTGACAATTTTATAATATGACATATTTTCATTTTATACACACATAAATAATAATGTATATATATATATATATAAATTTCATCTTTATTTATTTGATTGTTTTTTTCCAGAATATTACCAAACAAGTCTTATTATGTTTTTTTTTTTATACTTATTAAGATTAAAATAGAATCTTTATGTTTGAAAACATGTGTGTTTCTTTAGTGGAAGTTTGAATACATTTACACTCTGTTTACACAATATATTTTCACTCATTTAGTACTGTTAGGGTGCAAATTCAAATCCCACATCAGAAGTTGTGAAGAAAATTAGCACCTTATAAGTCCCAAGTGAACTCCTCTAGTATGAGGTCTTTTTGGAGAATATCCAAAACAAATCCGTGCGGGCCAACCCAAAGCGGACAATATCATACTAGCATTGAGTTGCCCAGTCCCCAAAAACATCAAATCAAATATTAATTTTTCATTTTTTTTCAAACTTCCAAAATTTCAAAAATCTCCAAAAAAGCCCTGTTTAAACAAACCTTAGTTTGAATTTTGTATTAAAATAATTTTTAATATGATATTTTGTGAGAAAAATATATATATATATTGTTTGGTAAATTCAAAATTTAAATAGTAAAATTTGGGAGATTTGTGTTAAAGAAATCCACCTGGCCAAGTGAATATTGTATTATCAATATAAACATACTTTAAAGTTTGGATTTAAGTCGACGGATTATTAAAATAATTAAATTTGATTTAAAATAATATTTTATCATGATATAAGTAGGTCTCTAGTGTAATATTTTTATAAATTTTTTTATCTTTTAAAGATATTAAATAAAAACTAAAATTTTGATTTATATTAGGTGAAAAAACTAAAAAATAGATCGAAACTGACTTTAAAAAACAAACATATCCACTAATAATAAATTATAATATTTAAAATAAAATATTAATTTGAATTCTTATTTCATTAGGTTTTTTATTATTATTTATTCAATATTAGGTCATTTTTTTTTAAAGGCTGTGATAGTAAATTTATGCGAAAATGTGTACATATTTTTAGAAGACTTTTCAATTATAATTGTATTATTATTTCTATAAAATTTCAATTATTATATGGAAACATATTATAGCGAAATTATCAAATTTTTGTAATTTATATATTATCTATTGCCCCTGTATAATTTGTATATTCTTAAGTTAATTATTTTTTCAATATTTTATTTTATTTATGTTTATTGTATTTTATAATTACATTCTCTACATACGTAGAATTTATTTTATAAAAGGGTATATATAAAAAATAATCTATTAAATAATTTGCAAATAAATATATTTTAAAATGAATGAATCACAGGCAGTTTACTTCTACCTATTCAAAGTACAATTAACATAAGTTGAAAAGAAGGAAAATTAGAAAAAAAAAAAAAAAAAAAAAAGATAAATCTTCCAATTTGAGATTGACAAATTAATTTAATTAAAAATATATATTCTATCTCTCAAATCAAATGGATCTTTGTAGTAAATTAAAAAAATATAATATTTTATTAGTTAATGAAAATAAGTAAGAATTTTTGTCATTTTTATCTTTTGACTTTATATGTAAAATAATTTTTATATATAATATATGTTTGTTATTTAAATAAAATTTAAAGATATTTTGATTTTAGTGTATTGTTATTTATTTAAAATAAAAAGAGAATATTTCAAAATAAGACAACGAAAATAGTAAAAATAATATTTACAAATATATTTTTTACACTATTTTTTTAAGTGAGGCCAAGACAGCTGTTCTCAAACCTCAATGTAAATTCCCTACTATATATAAGCAAATAAATTTAGAATTAATTATAAATTTTATAAATAAAAAAATATCTTCTGTGCAATGCATAAATAACGAGAGACTAAAATAAAAACAAACATGTAAATCAAAATCAAATAAAAATAAAATATAACTTCATTATTTTATTAGGGCTGACAAAAATTAACCCGACCCGAACCTGACATGAAATAGTTGGGTTTGGGTTGAGATTTTCGACCAAATTAATAATTGGGTCAAACTCGTTTAACCCATTTAATTAAATGGGTCAGGTTAAGGTCTACATTTTCGACATGAAAATATTTCGTCTAACCTGTTTAATTAATATTATTTAAATTAAATATATTTTTAAATTTTATCAATACAATTCAATATTTATGGCCAATTTTATAAAACTAAACAATAAAAAATAAAGGATTGTGTTATGTACGATTATGTAGCGTTGTTAATTCAATTCTTGAATATCGGTTTTATGATATGAATAAATAATTTTTTGCTTTAATTGTATATATATTATGCATTAAAATTTTTTGTTAGTGTAAATTGTAATTTTAAAATTAAAATTTAAAAATTTTAGATTTAAACGGGTTATATAAGTCATATTCAGGTTGACCCGATAATAAAAGGTAAGGTTAAGGTTTCAAATATCAACCCATTTAATTAAATGGTCAGGTTCAAGTCAAAGGTTTTGTAAACCCGTTTAAACTGACCCGAACCTGAACCCGACCCGACCTGATCCGATTGTCAGCCCTATATATGATTATATTTTTAAAATTAATATATAATTTTAATTTTCAAAAAGTGATATTAATTTATTTTTTTTATAAATAATGTGTAATTTTATTTTTTAAAAGTGATATATAATTTTTATTTTTTAAAATGATATGTAATTTTTTTTTTTTTTTAAGTAACGTGTACTTTTATTTTATAAAAAATTATGTAAATTTTTTATTTTAAATAGTTATTTGTCTTGATAGCATTTAATTATTTTATTTGTAATAGTTATTAATTATAAATGCTAATTTTAATATATGTAATTTTAAATAAAATATAAATTATATGTGTATAGATTATAATGTAAAATAATTAAAGTTGTGGTATAATTTATAAATATGAAAAATTATATAAAATAATATAAAAGTAGAATATACAGAATATACTTTTTAGAGTAAAAATTGAAATTTATGGTTGAAGTAAAGTACGGTAGATCAGCTGCATTTGTACTGTAGCAACTGCAAAATTAGAATGACGGATTGGAGATGGCTTTAAATAATACTTTCTCCCTAATTTAAATTTTCTGCTCAAATTTTTTTGACAATTTTAACGTAGGTATATATATTTAATTTTTTTTTTTTTTTTTTTTTTTTTTTTTATGATACAACAAATAAAAAATATATATTATTTTTATGAATAAACTAACATAAATTTAAATGACAAATTAATACATATATATAATTTTTTTTCTTTTTCTTCTTAATCTTTTAATGTTCATTGTGGGCAAATTTTGACTAATATAGAAATACATCGTTATAATGTTAGAAAAAGAATAATTTGGGTATGTTTGGTTCTATTTTTTAATAATACTAGTATTTGTTATGTTATCTATAATATATAGTATTTTTCTAATTATAAATAATATCATATTAAAATTTATTTTTTATATTTATAAGATATTGAAAATAAATTTTGATACAAAATATTATATTAAATACTTATTTAAATCATTAGCGTCTGGTGAATTTAAATTCATGATCCCGCGATCACAAGTTCAACTAGCATAGCGTTAAGTTATTTTTTATGAAACAAACATCAATATTTTTGTTGTTCAACCATTACGTTTTATTAATAAAAATATCTCTAATACAAAAGTATCAAATTTAAAATATTATTTAAGACAAAATTTAAATTAATAATTCAAATTATAATACAAATCAAATAAACTATAAAACACAATCAAACAAACTTTATTTATTATATATATTAAAAAAAATAAGGTAGAAATAATGGCCACTGAAGACCAATTGTGTTTTTGTTCACATATTCACACTCTAACTCTTTCACAATGTGTAGATACAATGCCTCTATTTTATTACTCCCTTCATCCCGACTATCGTGGTTTTTTTACCGTAAATATGAGAATTTAAAGAAATATAATTAGTAAATAATTAAAAATATATTAATAAAAATATTTATCATATAATAAAAATAGTTTTAGATTAAAAAATATAATTAGGGTATATGACTATATATCATGTGGGATAAAATCCACATTTACTTTAAAATAAATTACTTTATAATTGAACAATCCAAAATAAAATTATGTATACTATGTAAGTTGACGAATAAAACAATATTAGAGTTCTCGGTTGCCTTCTCCGGGAGATTTGAACTACCCGTCGTTCTCGGTTGCCTTCTCCGGCTTTAAAAGCGTTGTGAAGTATAAACGAAGCGTAAGAAATGTCAGGAAGGAGGCGAATGCCGTGTACGAGGTGACAGTGCACGCACCGGACGGTGTGGAAGTGACCGTGCCACCGAGTAAATTAGAGTTCCGCTAGAAGGAAGACACTCTATTTGAATCTACAGAGATAAGGATAAATCTAATAAATAAATACAATGGTAATGGTAATGGTAGTTAGAAAAACATTTCTCATCGCCACTTAATTTTTAATACGATTTTCGATTTATATTAAAAAAAAATATAATATATATAGTTTTGTACAAAATATATAATATATAATTTATACACTAAAAAATATAATAGTTTAACACTACAACGATCGAACTGCACTCATGCCTCTCCCGCGTCACGTTGACCGCCCCTCCCCCCTATTACTCTTTCCGTCCCACTTAATTTATCCACTTTTTCTATATTCATCCATCCTATATAAATTATCTCTTTTATTTTTTGGAAATATGATTATACACTTTAATCATATTTTAAAGGGTAAACTGTTTTTTTAGTCCCGTAACTAGACCCCCTTATCATTTTAGTCCCGTAAGTGGAGCCTGTCGGAAACTAGTCCCATAAGTGAAAGATTTTCGCTGTTTTAGTCCTCCGGCGCCGGAGATGCCCGCGTGGCTCGCCGGAGGTGACGTGTCCGCCAGGTGTCGCTGACCTGGCGGACACGTGGATTTTTTTATTTATTTTTTCATTTTTTAAAATTGTTTTTAAAACTTATTTTAAATTTTATTTGCATTTTTTTATTTTTTTTATTTGATCCAATTTTAAAAAAATTAAAAAATTAAAAAAAATAAATAAATCCATGTGTCCGCCAGGTGTCGCTGACCTGGCGGAACACCTGACGGACACATCACCTCCAGCGAGCCACGCGGGCATCTCCGGCGCCGGAGGACTAAAACAACAAAATTTTTTCACTTATGGGACTAGTTTCCGACATGCTCCACTTACAAGACTAAAATGATAAAGGAGTCCAGTTACGGGACTAAAAAAACAGTTTACCCTATTTTAAAATTCATAATTTATATATATATTTTATTTTAATTAACTATTAAGTCATTCTAATATGTAATTATTTTTACTAATATACCATAATTATTTTTACTAATATATTTCTTAATTACTTACTAATTACATCATAACTAAAACTTCGTGCCTCAGCTAAAATGGACAAATTAGTTGGGACGGAGGGGGTATTTTTTTTTACACTACTTTAAACTAAAAATACAAAATTAATACACCAGTAAAATAAATTTTAAATTATTAATCTATTTAAAAAAATCATTAGTAATATAATAAAATTAATGATTATAAATAAATATATGTAATTGTAGCAGTATATTCAAATAAAATATTATATTTTTATAGAAGCAATAAAATATAATTTAAATATAAAAATATATATATACGTATAATATTAAAAAAAGAAATTATTTTAATTTTTATTAGATTACATAGGAGGGTATTATATATGGTAAGTAGCCGTTAAGCATAATGATTTTGATTTTAATAACACATAATATTAAAAAAAGAAATTATTTTAATTTTAATATACACATAATATTAAAATGTGAAATTATATATGGTAAGTTTTATATTAGGTAAGTAGCCTTTAAGCATAGATTTTGATTTTAATTTTAATTTTAATTTTAATATACACATAATATTAAAATGTGAAATTATATATGGTAAGTTTTTTATATTAGGTAAGTAGCCATTAAACATAGATTTCGATTTTGATTTTAATTTTAATTTTAATATACACATAATATTAAAATGTGAAATTATATATGGTAAGTTTTTTATATTAGGTAAGTAGCCGTTAAGCATAGATTTTGATTTTGATTTTGATTTTAATTTTAATATACACATTATATTAAAATCTGAAATTATATAGGGTAAGTTTTTTATATTAGGTAAGTAGCCGTTAAAGCATACATTATAAATATTCTTTATTTTGATTTTGTATACATTATTATAAGTTTTTGGGGCTGCAATGCAAATGCAATGGGGTACGAGCAGGGCAGGGGCAGGCGCAGGGGGAATTCCGAGAAGGGGATGAAGAAGGTTTTGTGAAGAGGGTTTTGGAGAATTTCCGGGGGCAGGGGCAGGCGCAGGGGAATTCCGATAAGGGGATGAAGAAGGTTTTGTGAAGAGGGTTCTGGAGAATTTCGGGGGGCAGGGGCAGGCGCAGGGGGGATTCCGAGAAGGGGATGAAGAAGGTTTTGTGAAGAGGGAGCGGCCGGATGATCGGACGACCGAATACATCATAGGGAGTAATCCGTGCCTTTCCATTTACATTTATGCATTTAATTTAGTTTAACATTATGCATATAGGAATAGATTTAATTTTATGTCCGTCCCGGGACATGCATGCATTAATTTTTTTGTTTCTATATTTTATACTAACTTATTTTCAAGTGTTTTTAATTTGTAGGTAAAGTTTATGTGGAGATGAGGGGATCCGCAAAGATCCTTCGATCTCGATTTCAAATCGAAGGTAAGTTATTTTAATATTACTTTTTTGTTTCCGATACTTATATACTAATATCTATTTCAAATCTTTTTAGATGCATACGAGAGGGAGCGGCCGGATGATCAGACGACCGAATACATCATAGGGAGTAATTCGTCCCTTTCCTTTTACATTTAGGCATTTAATTTAATTTAGCATTTTGCATATAGGAATAGATTTATTTTTACGTCGGTCCCGGGACAAGCATGCATTAATTTTTTTGTTTCTATATTTTATACTAACTTATTTTCAAGTGTTTCTAATTTGTAGGTAAAGCTTATGTGAAAACGAGGGGATCCGAAAAGATCCTTCGATCTCGATTTCAAATCCTAGGTAAGTGATTTTAATATTACTTTTTTGTTTCCTATACATATATACTAATATCTATTTTAAATCTTTTTAGATGCATACGAGAGGGAGCGGCCGGATGATCGGACGACCGAATACATCATAGGGAGTAATCCGACCCTTTCCTTTTACATTTATGCATTTAATTTTTTAATTTAGCATTATGCATATAGGAATAGATTTATTTTTACGTCGGTCCCGGGACATGCATGCATTAATTTTTTTGTTTCTATATTTTATACTAACTTATTTTCAAGTGTTTTTAATTTGTAGGTAAAGCTTACGTGGAGACGAGGGGATCCGCAAAGATCCTTCGATCTCGATTTCAAATCCAAGGTAAGTGATTTTAATATTATTTTTTTGTTTCCTATACATATATACTAATATCTATTTTAAATCTTTTTAGATGCATACGTAGGGAGCGGCCGGATGATCGGACGACCGAATACATCATAGGGAGTAATCCGTCCCTTTCCTTTTACATTTATGCATTTAATTTAATTTAGCATTATGCATATAGGAATAGATTTAATTTTACGTCGGTCCCGGGACATGCATGCATTAATTTTTTTGTTTCTATATTTTATACTAACTTATTTTCAAGTGTTTTTAAATTGTAGGTAAAGATTACGTGGAGACGAGGGGATCCGCAAAGATCCTTCGATCTCGATTTCAAATCCAAGGTAAGTGATTTTAATATTACTTTTTTGTTTCCTATACATATATACTAATATCTATTTTAAATATTTTTAGATGCATACGAGAGGGAGCGGCCGGATGATCGGACGACCGAATACATCATAGGGAGTAATCCGTCCCTTTACTTTTATATTTATGCATTTAATTTAATTTAGCATTATGCATATAGGAATAGATTTATTTTTACGTCGGTCCCGGGACATGCATGCATTAATTTTTTTGTTTCTATATTTTATACTAACTTATTTTCAAGTGTTTTTAATTTGTAGGTAAAGCTTATGGGGAGACGAGGGGATCCGCGAAGATCCTTCGATCTCAATTTCAAATCCAAGGTAAGTTATTTTAATATTATTTTTTTGTTTCCTATACATATATACTAATATCTATTTTAAATCTTTTTAGATGCATACGAGAGGGAGCGGCCGGATGATCGGACGACCGAATACATCATAGTTAGTAATCCGTCCATTTCCTTTTAGATTTATGCATTTAATTTAATTTAGCATTATGCATATAGGAATATATTTATTTTTACGTCGGTCCCGGGACAAGCATGCATTAATTTTTTTGTTTCTATATTTTATACTAACTTATTTTCAAGTGTTTTTAATTTGTAGGTAAAGCTTATGTGGAGACGAGGGGATCCGCAAAGATCCTTCGATCTCGATTTCAAATCCAAGGTAAGTGATTTTAATTTTTACTTTTTTGTTTCCTATACATATATACTAATATCTATTTTAAATCTTTTTAGATGCATACGAGAGGGAGCGGCCGGATGATCGGATGACCGAATACATCATAGGGAGTAATCCGTCCCTTTCCGTTTACATTTATGCATTTAATTTAGTTTAACATTATGCATATAGGAATAGATTTAATTTTACGTCCGTCCCGGGACATGCATGCATTAATTTTTTTGTTTCTATATTTTATACTAACTTATTTTCAAGTGTTTTTAATTTGTAGGTAAAGCTTATGTGGAGACGAGGGGATCCGCAATGATCCTTCGATCTCGATTTCAAATCCAAGGTAAGTGATTTTAATATTACTTTTTTTGTTTCCTATACATATATACTAATATATATTTTAAATCTTTTTAGATGCATACGAGAGGGAGCGGCCGGATGATCGGACGACCGAATACATCATAGGGAGTAATCCGTCCCTTTCCTTTTACATTTATGCATTTAATTTAATTTAGCATTATGCATATAGGAATAGATTTATTTCTACGTCGGTCCCGGGACATGCATGCATTAATTTTTTTGTTTCTATATTTTATACTAACTTATTTTCAAGTGTTTTTAATTTGTAGGTAAAGCTAATGTGGAGACGAGGGGATCCGCCAAGATCCTTCGATCTCGATTTCAAATCCAAGGTAAGTGATTTTAATATTACTTTTTTGTTTCCTATACATATATACTAATATCTATTTTAAATCTTTTTAGATGCATACGAGAGGGAGCGGCCGGATGATCGGAAGACCGAATACATCATAGGGAGTAATCCGACCCTTTCCTTTTACATTTATGCATTTAATTTAATTTAGCATTATGC